AGATCCAGTTCATTGAAGATAATCGCAACACTGAATTAGAACACCCAATTCTGAGCGTCATGCTACTCCTCTCAAGCAACATGGCAGGGCCAGGGTATCCCAATTGGATTGAATGGGATGACAGTTTTTCATTCTGAATTTGTAAAATCAGAATTCCAATCATTCACACATCGAAGTATACTAGGCCTGCTAATTCTTTAAGAGGTTTATGTAAAAGATTCGTAATATAAGCAGGAAGATGTTTCAAATACCACACATGGGTTACCGGGCATGCTCGAAACCAGTTTCTTTCTCGTTGCTCTTACCTCCCATCTATTTTGATTCTCAAGAACAAATGATCAATAACAAAAATAAATATATACTCATAATAATATTGTGTCTAAAGATATTATACAATATTAAAAATTGAACTGATATTGAAGTATTTATATTTTAAATAATAATTTAGTTTTTTTAATTATGCAATTTAAAATTAAATGAAGTGAGAGATAGGTGTGGATTGATGATATTATTTAACAGTGGAGAGTATGTTGATTGAGTTGTGTAGCACCAGGGATTGTGGAGAGAAGAAGATATCTTTGGGCGGGAAAAAAATTGGGATAATTTTGTATTATTGAATCAAAATAGATGAAGATTAGATTAATTTTGACCATTGTTATACGTATATAAATTGAGAATTTAACTTCATAACTATAATATTATATATATATCCTAGTCCTTCACCTTCACACTTTGTGTATTCATGGTCACTAGCTTTGACATATTCAACTAAATTAACCCATAAACATAATCGTTTGTTGCTCATTTCACCAGCTTCTTGCTAGTTTTGAGGCGATCTTGAAATGGGAAGGCAAATAGGCTGAAGTGAGACTGTCTACCAATGGAGAAAATATTGAGTCTGACAATGGCATCATGTCATCATTAACAAGTAGTGTTATCATCTAATAATAAACTTATAAATGGATAATGGTATTCTTTGTCTTATGAATACTTTATCTTCTTAAAGTCAAGGGTTCAAACCCCTTTCGCCCTCACCTCCCCCCAAAAAATAAAAATAAATAAACTTATGAATAGGTAAGGTGAATCAATTAAATGGTTACTAAATAACATGATAAGGTAATTATTAGAATATGTGGCATCCACCAGCTCATATATTATCTTAATGTTAGTTTTTAAATTCATGGTACGAATGAGCTTGAAATACGCCATGATAATAAAAAAAAATTGAGTTGGTATCAAGACATCTGATATGATTTATTAAACGAGTTGGGTTAAGATTGACTAATAATCAATACGAACACAACTCACCTTAATACGATTATCACCCTTAATTGTATCTTTGTGTTTTTCTCTCCACCTATACCTGGTTTTTTTCATAGATGCATTATTATGTGCTATAATAGTTGATTGTTTAAGTTGATTATTTGTCGTAATAGCTATTTACCTCTTCCAAGGGATGAATGAAAAGTGTTGGCTGGCTCATGATTTTTGTCATCAGGACAGTAAAGCTTTGGCGAAGAGCTCAAACAAGCCTAACAGATATCACAATAAAGTGATAAACCTTAGGCCAACTCAATGAGCTACCCCAATTCATCCGAGGCTAATAAGTTGTAGTACTTTTTTTTTTTTTTTGGGTTTATGGTCAGGGGTATTCAGACCAACTTATATATACCTTGATTAATTTATTTCTCAGTTTGTTAAAGACAGATCATTCACATCAAAACTAAGATATTTATGAATAAATCTCTCATAGTCTGACTCTAAAGAGTTGTTAAATTTTGAATTCAAAACGTTTGAGATATCACTTGAGCTATCCCTTAAGAGTTTAAATTGTAATACGTTACATCCACTCAAATTGAACAAAAATTTCTGAGTATCCTAAATTTCTATGTATCACTATTTCTAAGGAAGATCCAACGAGCTTACCTTATTATTAGAGAAAAAGGAAAAAGAAGAATAATCTATATGATTCGGTTCTCTTATATTAATTCTGAATTTGCATAAATTCTTTTCTTGAAATCACATTCTTCTCAAAGAAATCTCCCTCAAAAAGTCTTTCGAATTCATACAAGGTGGGCTTTCATAAATTCACAATGCAAGACTTTTAATTTGAAGGACCGATGTCTAGTACCATACTGACATCTTAGAAACACAAACTACATAGAGGAAACAACTAAAATTAACATTTTGAGATTGTTATGGAAGGGATTTAAACTAAAAGTTTTCTACCAAATATGCCTGTATGATACTATACAACTTTTTTATTGGATTATCCATGCTTACACTTCTAGGTAAATGTCTATAATCTTCTCAAGTCTTGTTGTGGTCCACAATCATGTTCAACAGATGTGCCGCTGCCCTCATGGAGGCTTCATGACTCTGTTGGAAGTCCGTTCTGTGTCCAAGCAGCATATCCACCAGCTATGTCAGTAATTCCAGTGAAACCCTGCACAAATCAATTGAAGAATCAATTTGTATTTCTCTAAAAACAAGTGAAAATTTCAGCAAGTATAATCAAGGGTTATGATTAATTTCAATAGAATGCAGATAGGATGCAAGAAAAACTTCCAAAGTAAAACCCCGTTACATGAATGTAAATCATTTTAGGTCGCTTGGCAATAAAGTAGATCTGTGTCCGTTTTAATTTTCCAATATGCATGTTCTCATCAAAACTACAGAAATGCTATCGAGAACAAGAAATATAGACTTTGAACTTCCTTTTTAAGTAGTATCATGCTGGAATAGCTTCTTCCTCCTCCTCCATTTTTTCTCAAGGAAATCATGCTAGAGTATCACATTTCAGTTTCTAGGTTGCAGGTTCTCAATCAAAACCACCAAAATAAGGATAAAAAAGAATTGGACAACCCATTCATGGTCTCGGCAAGGCTCACAAACCACTACTGCTAACAGAATTTCATAATCATGAATGGTGTGGAAGATGAAGTCCTATGTGGTAGTACTCAGATTCTCTATCGGTATGCCAAAGCGTAACCTTGCACCCAAGTTAAGCTGCTCATCAACTTTAAGAAGCAATTGAACCACTGCTATGTTCAGCATGGGCATGAGCAATTACAACAAATCAAAAGTCACAGAGTACCTCGGAACTTCACACTTCATCTAACCAAGGGCATTCTAGGAGTACAATGATTGATAAACGATCATCGAAAAGAGATTTTGTAGCAATCAGTTTTTGAATTTGAGCATCATATATACCATCCAGTTGATGAAGAAAGTCCACCAATTAACCAAATTAATTGTGTTTATTTTTCACTCAAACAACATTAAAACTCTTCCTTCTCCTCACAGAAACATAAATGACAGGTTCAAGATCGCCATTAAACAATTTCACCATCAACCTTCATTCCCGTGATTACTCTACTAGATTAAGATGTACTTACAGCAGACACAAGATCACTTGCAGCCATGAATGACCTTTTCCCAATCTGGCATCCCTGTAGAATGAGGAAGTAGAACATCATTGATGATCTGTGAAAAAATAGTGAGTGATCTCAAGATGTGTATATGGCTAACACAACATTACTATGGGTACTTACAACAATAATTTCATCATCTTTTGCTAAAAGTGACAATAATTCCTCCAAGAAGTTGGGGTTTTTTGTCATCCCTGTTTCAGTAAGTGAAAGAAGCATCAGGCAGCAAGAAGAGGCAAATGGGTGTGCATAAAAAAAGGGAAAAACATATAAGACACATAATCACTGTGTCACAAAGGCAACATCAACATGTGTTCTGCATCAATTTTATTATTAGGGCTGACACTCATTCTACAGAGTACAGATCACAATCACACCAACTCTACAGCCAAACATAATACAGATTTAATGCCTGACACCTATAATACAAAGATTAAGTTTCTGAATGGTAGACACTTGTTTGATGGTGATTCTCAGGAAACTGGTTCTCTCACCAGAGATACAGATATAAAAGTTGGTAATTTTGCGCCATCAGCCATTGATATTTACCTGATCCAACCCTGAACATGTACGGAATATTAATTGCCCCAACAGCATGTCCAGCACTGAATTCTTCACGTGTCCTGCACAATCATACCCGCCGCCAAAAAATGATTTGAAAACACACCCAATACTAAGTTTTATTGAAATTATCAATCCCCAATTCTGCCAAACTTTTTCATCTACTTTGCATCTGAAAGGATAGTACCTGACGTCCAGATAACGGTGTCCAGCTTGAAGAAGCTCGTGTGCAACTCTGACCGGCACAGATGTCGGAACAGCCGTGGATTGCACATTCTCTCCCACTGTGATCACCCATCTGTCAATCACCCATGGATAAATTCTTAGTGATCATCACAAAACAAGAAAAAAAAAAACCCAAACTTTGCAGAGAAGGTACTTGCTTGCTAAAAGTCCCAAGACACACCTGAAGTTCGAAGTTCTGTTCCTGGTGCGACTGCTACTTCCTCTTCGTATCTGACACTGGGAATTCGCTGCTGGTAACAACGATGATCGCGCATTTCTAAACGTAATAATCATCAAATCGTAAAACAAGTCAGATATAAACGAACAGAAGATAAATTAAGCATACTCAACTACTAAAAAGCACCTAGACCTGTTATTGAGGTTTTGAGGATGATTCGGTTGGGGAAGAGAGAGATTAAGAGAGAAAGTTGTCGTCGTCGTCGTCATTGCTTTGATGCTTACTATGTGGGTGTGTGCCTGCGTGAGCTCTGTTCTTTGCTCTTGTGAGAGATTTGAGGATGGTGATTATATATGTATATCTTCCTTCTACTATTATATATAGTAGATAGGAATAGGAGTGGCATATTGATGGCTGAATGTGTCTTAGATAGATGACAACGACACCTGTGTGTCATCAGACTCATCACCTTCTTCCCTTTGCTTTCCGTTATGGATAATCTGAACCATAAGGGTGACTGGGTGACATCAAGCCGGTAAGATAAGTTCGAAATGGCCTGTGGAATTTTATCCGCACACCACACCTTCCAAGGCTCAAGTGGGACCCCCCGTATCTCTCTTTTTCCTCCTCTTCCTCTTCCTCTTCCTCTTCCTCCCCCTCTTTCCATACTAGTTTTTGAATAAATTATAAATTAAACCTAAAGAATGTATTTGATTTCTATTTGATTCTTGAAATTTCAGTTACAATAATCAAATCTTGAAAATTTTAATTCAATCCTTACGTCCAAATTCACTAATTTATTATGAAATGATCTTCAGTGTTCAACACGTAGTTGAATAAAAGGATATATTTATCTGATAAAAAATATTTTATGCATAAATTAGAAAAAAATTCTTTATTTCTTCTGATTTTGAAAAAGAGAAAATAAAAAACCCGTAATAACGATACAGAGTGAGAATTTAATAATCATGTGAGACAAAAAAAGAAATACTAATTAAATAGATTTTTATAGACAAGTTTTGTAACATTATCCTATTAAAATAAATTAGCATAATTAGATTGGAAATATTCAATTAAAATTCGGATAAAATTTTGAGAATATAATTGTTGTAATTAGAACTTCAAGTACCAAATAAAAATTAGGTACATATTTTAGGAGTATATATAGTAAATTAGCCTTAATTTTTTTAGTGTCAAATAACTTTTATAAATATATATAAATACATATTTTCCATAACTCAAAAAAAAAATTATATTTATATCCCCATATATTTATCACTAAAGCATGTGTACCCTTCATGTATAAAAAATAACACTATACACTTTATGAAAGAGTTATGTGTTGTTCAATACTCATTGCAACGTTATTTCCAAAAATAGTACCAAGGTAAGTCAATGATTTAGGGATCGTCGGAGAGTTCCTACATAGGAATTCGAGAACCAAATGATAAAGTCAATAAAAGAATTAGTAATAAAATGGAGTGCAGCTAGGAAGTGTGACTTACCTAGGCTTAGCTACCTCTTTGTAGGTCAAACTCACATTAACTACGAAGCTGTTTTTTTAATTGGGTGGCAAGAAATGTGAAACCCCCTTCCCAAGTGTCTGCAACTAATTTGAGTTAAAATGGTGGGATCTGGACAAGCCAACTGATAGGTTGGTTTGGGCCTAGAGCTATTTCCTCACACTGGATCCATCCTCTAGTGCTTGTCTTGTGATCCTTCTTGGCACATGTTTGGCACATGCTTGGCACGTGTTTTACCCAATGACTTATTTAACTTCATTATTATGTCAACACGTTAATATGGTGTAATTGTCTAATAATATTAAATAACAAATGGACAAGTGAATTTCATATGCATAGTAATTGTATGATATGGACAAATAGTTTTTTTTTTTTGGTTAAAAAAGAGAGCCGAAACCCAAAAACTAACTAATAATTAACCTATAAAAACAAACACCATACGCATCCAAATCAATCAGGAAAAGGATCCCTATAGGAGATCTCTGGAAGATAGTGTTCCCCAAAGCCAACTGATGAGCCAAATTGGCTAACCAATCTGCACAAGCATTTGCTTTCTGATAAACATGCTGAATCTGAACATGCCAATCACGCCGTAAACAGTGCTCGAACTTGTAAGACTAAAAAACGATGGTCATTTTCCCCTTTCTCGCCCAGAATAGCAACAACCATTTTGGAGTCAACCTCTAGTTCAATATGCTTATACACGAACTCCCAAACCATCCATAGACCATCTAGAACAACCCATAATTCCGCAGACACAACAGAGCAAGCTCCAATATTCCGAGCAAAATCACCAAGCCATTTACCCGCAGCATCTCTAATGAGACCCGTAGCCCCAGCATGACCTGTATGCTTCCAAAATGAGCCATCTGCATTTAGTTTAGCCCAACCATTCTTTGGGGGATATTATTTGACTTGTGCCCAAACCTTCTCTTTATCACCTCTATTATTATGCAGCCCCATAACTTGAGCCACTTGAATTGCACTAACTTTACCCCATACTATCAGCTCTGGCCGAACTAGCCTCACAAAGTCACTGTCAAAAATGGACTGATTTCGCCATTGCCACAAAAGCCAGCAGCACACACCAAAAACTATAATCCAAGGCCGGTTATATATCACATGGTTTGAACTCAAATTGTTCCTCATCCATGCATGCAACGAACTGCTGAAAAATGCATGCTCCAATTCTACAGGAACAAGCAAGTGTCATACCTTACGAGCTACAACACAATCACGAAGAACATGCAATGCATTCTCAGTCGTGGTCATGCACTGAGAACACATAGTCGACACATTTAGATGGCATCTAACCCTCTCCTCATTGGTCAATAATTTACCATGCAAAACAAGCCATAAAAACAACCAAATTCTCTCCGGACCTTGCCACCTTCACACTAACCGCCAGCCATCATCTTGAGGCTAAAAATAAGGAGACGCTTGCACCTCATGCGCTGACCGAACTGAGAAACGACCATCAGTACTCTCTCCCCATACAAGTCGATCATGACCCAAGCTAGAAACTGGTGGAGGGATAGCAACAATCCGAGAGCACACCTCAGGGGGTAAAAAACCCTCAATATAATGCCAATCCCATAAGCCATCTTCACTTATCAGGTCTGCCACCCTCATATCGAAACTTTCAGCAGCAGAGTCTGAAAGTCTATGATGCTCTAGAGGCCCCACATCTGGAACCCACCAATCTCTCCAAAATCTAGTAGTTCGGTCATCGCCCAGACACCATCTCACCCCTTTAAGCACACTACTCCAAACATTGCAAATACTCTTCCACAAATACGAGCACTTAACAGCTCTTGGAACCTCCATCAAAACATTAGTATTCCTACAGTACTTGGATAACAACACTTGCACCCATAACTCCGAGGATAACGTCATAATGACCCAAACTAGCTTTATCAAGAAAGCATCATTAAAGGCTTCCATCCTCCTAATTCCCAAACCTCCATGTATCTTAGGTTGACACATATGATCCCAAGAAACTAAGGACATTCTCCTTTTGTTCGCCGAAGATCCCCACAAGAAACCTCTACTACACTATCTATTTATGAGCAAATTGACAAAGGAAGTTTAACAGTTTGCATGGTATAACTGGGCATCGCCGTAACCACAGCTTGAACAAGTGTGCTTCCTCCCGCTAAGGACAAAGTATCAGCTTTCCATGTTGCAAGTTTAGAGTGGATTCTATCAACCACTTCCCCATAAGTAGCTCTAGTGACTCTCACATGAATCAACAGGACACCAAGATATTTTCCCAAATTTGTAGTAAGACCAAAATGCATCTCATTACTGATAGCCCTAGCAAGTCCTCTTGAAACATTTTTAGACACAAACAACTTAGTTTTATTAGAACTCACCTTCTGGCCTGGGGACGAACAGAAGATGGAAAGGCAATCCTTGATCACCCGGGCTTGCTCCAACGTGGCTTCTGTAAATAGTACAATATCATCTGCAAAAAAAAGGGGAGACAACGGTGGCCCATCTTTGACAAGCACTACTGGTTTTCAAACCTTTTCCTGAATTTTGACTTCAATCAGGTGACCCCAATCTTTCCATACATAGAACAAACAGATATGGAGATAGGGGGTCACCTTGTTGGATACCCCTAAATGGTCGAAAACTATCTGTCATATCCTCATTCCATAGCACGCTCATATCACATGATGTAACACATCTCATTATCAAATGGACAAGGCGGTCAGGCCCACCAATGTCAACCAAAGTATCTTGAATGAAATCCCATCGAAGCCGATCATATGCTTTCTCCAAATCAATTAGACCTTTCTTACCCTTTCTCATCTTCATACTATGGATAACCTCTTGAGCAATAATGATGTTATTGTAGATGTTACGGTCTGGCACAAAGCTACTTTGATTCGGCTGAATCCACTCGGGGAGAAATTGTTTAAGTCTATTGACAAATTACCTTCATTACCACTTTATAGGTCACATTACAAAGACTGATAGGCCAGACCTGGGCAACAGAGACAGGCGTTAGTACCTTAGGAATAAGAGCAATCAAGGTAGAGTTAACTGGATCCAAGCTCTAAACACCACTCCAAGCATCACAAACAAAACGCAAAAGAGATTCACCCACCACTTCCAATTTTGCTGAAAGAAGACCGCCTGCACGCCATCCAGACCAGGCGCTTTTATGTGCCCCCATGCCAAAAATTGCCAATCGAACCTCCTCTTAATTAATAGGAAAGTCCAAATCATCTACATTCCGCAACAAACTAGGAAATTTCCCTCTCATTGGAAAAGGTGGAACCACATCACTCTCACTGGTACACAAACGTTAAAAAAAATCATGGGCTAGCTGCTTCAAAACACTTGGATCTATAACCCATTCTCATCCTTCATTTTGCAAAATTTTTATCTTGTTTTTCTGACGTCGAACAATAGTACTTTGATGGAAGTAAGCGGTATTGCGATCACCTAATTGGATTTTTTGGCAATGGGACTTCTGCATCCAAAGTACTTCTTCTTGGTGCATAACGCTTTCCAATTCCAAAACTAATTCCCTCTCCAGCCGTCGTAGAAACCCCGATTCCCTAACCTCCAAAACCCGTTGAGCACCCCAAATACAAGCCTCCAAGTGTTTCTTTTTTTGAAAAATATTGCCAAACACATTCCTATTCCAAACTTTTGCTTTAGTTACAAATTCATCAACAACTTTAGGTAGCTTTACTTCCTATTTCCAAGTTTCCTGCATAAAGTCCTTGAAACCATCATGTAGTAGCCAAGCCGCTTGACACCAAAAATGCCGATTAGTTCTCACTGTCGGACTTTGATCGCAACAAATAATAAGAGGCCAATGGTCAGGTTTAATTTTTGCTGCATGGATGACTACAGCCTCAAGAAATCTCATGCGCCAAAGAGAGTTTGATAGAGCCCAATCAATACGCTCTTTAAACATCCCCTTTCCCTAGTAAACCAGGGCCCCTGAAACCCTAAATCCATCATACCGCAATTTTGGATCCAACTGTGAAACTTGACATATTTAGATCCCCTAACTGGTGCGCCCCCATATTTATCCGAAGGGTGGTTGGAAAGCCATCATAAGACCAAGGATCAACACTCATTATCTTGAGAGACTCAATTCATAACTGACACACGACAAGATATCTACGGAATTGTCTTGCCTGTTACGAGAATGACGTCACATCTACAGAACTGTCCACCTGTTACGCGCATAGTGCCTCAATATATTAAGAGACGCCTATAATTGTAAGTCACACATACACAAGGGGAGCATCACACAAATCTCAACACTCACACCTGAGCATTCTATATTCCTTGAATAATAAAATACTCAAGCCATCGTAACCTTTCATAGTGTAGTAGGTCATCCCAACCAGACCACTTTATTTGTGTTTGCTTGTGTTAAGTATCCTTCTCAATTACTGCATTAAATACTTGATAAATAGTGTATAAATTTATTTTGTGCATTATCACACTTCATTCAACCTAAGGAGTGTCTTTTATAAGCAAACAACAGGGTGGAAAGCCAAGGCACAGTCACAGTAGTCCCAATTCTATTTAAACCCTCCCACAACATATTCCTTTCATCTTCCCTCGGGCTCCCATAGACAGCAGTAAAAAGCCACGGCTCAGCATTGCATTGCATAACTCGAAGATGAATGAATTGATCATGCTTTTGCAGGACATCAATCACTAAGTCCACCTCCTTCCAAAGTATCTATATTCCACCTGCCCTACCCCTAGCTTCAACTCTGGTAGAGAACTGGTAACCGAGACCACTAATCACTTTATCAGCAACTCTCCCACTCACTTTTGGTTCAACAAGCACTACTATGGTCATCGTCAAGAGCAGTGCCGGGTGAACCGAGGTGAGGGAGTTCAAACTAATCTAGCAATTAATCAGACCCATACCTCAAATGAAGGGATGAATAACCCTGGTCAGCGGGGCGTTGGGGGAGGAGGTGAATGCTGGGTGTAATGAGGTAGTGGACCCTTATGGTCCTTGGATGCTGGTTCAGAAATTGGTCAGAGGTCGCAGGCGGACGATGGTGACTAAAGAGGACCGAAGTGAAAAGGAAACTAATTCAGATAAGAAAATGGACCAGAAATTTGGGGGATCTCGGTACTCAATTCTCGAGAAAATAGGGGATATGAATGGAGGTGATCATGGGATTGTGAATCATAATCTGCTACGTGAATCTCATTCACATGAATATCGTTCACCTAATAGAGAAGGACTTAAAGATGGACGTGATGAGTGGCGTAAGGAGATATATCAGGACAAGCAAAAAAATAGGAAACAAGGAGAGGGCCAGCGAGTTGGTACATGTGATATTGGGCCAGTCAAGATTGGGCCTTGTCAAATTGGTAGTAGACCCAATGACCAAAAGTCCAAGAGGAATGGCCATCAGACTGGGAAAATTTGCTCCATAAGCTGCCATTAGTGTCACCAGTTCAGGCTATAGCTGAAACGAGTGATGGTGGTGTTGATTGTATGATGGTGACTTCTGGTGCAAATACATACACTACTGAGAGAGAGTTGAGGGGAGAGCCCGGAATTGGCAAGCAACCAAAACCTCCTGATGGAGAGCTGTTTTGTATTGATTCTCAGCCATATGAAAGCATGCCTAGTCTTAGTGGTACAGTGGTGCCTGAGACAAGTGTTATGCTTGATAGAGCAAGGGTTTTCCCAAGAGTGGGAGCTTCGATGGATTTTTCCTAATGATTTGGGATTCTGTCTATTTGTTTTTAATGTTTGTTTTTGTTTGGAATTGTCAAGGAGCCAAGAGCTCCAAGTTTGGGGTGACCTTCAGGATAAATAGTTATTTAATTGTGTGAGATTCATTTATTCACTGATTATTTTGTTATTGGACTGTTATACTATTTCAATGTGATAACATGATGTAATAATTACAATGAATATTTTTTCTTGGCGCATATATTTTTGAAAAGTCAACAAATCCAAATGGCATTAGCATATTTTAATACAAAATTCCTAGCCTACCCTTCCAAGACCCACCACCATACCAGGACCCACCACCATCCTGGATCAATTGTACTCCTTTCTGAATCAAAAATTAATAATTCTTTATGCACTAAATTTTTATACCAAAATATACATTAAATTAATTGATGAGATTTATTCATTTAATGACGATAAATTATTTAGTCCAAATTTTGATGCATATTTTTTATGCACACAACATTGCATTAATCTTAAAAAATTCCACAACTCTATGGACACCACAACCAATGCAGTGCCCAAACCACTACCTCCCACATAAACACAATCGCACTCTCTCATCCAAAGCCACCATTGTTTTGCCACCTCTCTCTCTCTCAATCCTTTTCCAGCTTACCTTCTACCTCCTCCACCACTAAATCCCACCAAATATCATAGCCTTTTCACCACCACTATGACCACTCCATTGAAAAGCTTTTGCCACCACTAAACTTGACACCCCTTCCCCATCCTTTAAAAGCATCCTTCCCCTGAATATCTCTCACCCTTTTCACTCAGCCATCATCTTATTCCAGTATAAAAACCTCCCAACAATTGCTCCAATAGAAAAGTCATTCAAAAATTTTTTCTTCCTGACCAAATCCTCAACCTTGAGAACCCTTATCGATTGAACCCCTGTCACCTCCAGAATCCCCCCCCCCCCGACCAATCCTTGAAATGACCAGGTATATATGCACAAACTCTCTACAATGAGTAAATATTATGTATAACGATTACATAACATCAACATTGTCATTAGTGTAATCACCCAATAAGAACTAAGCAAATGGACAAGTGAACTCTATTTTTTGAATATGTGACAAAACGATATTTACTCGTCGACAACTCCACACCGATACTCCACCTCAAACACCTTAATCCAAATTGCATCCCTCCACCACCAACTCTCTTTAAATAAAAAACAAAAGGGGCACAATATTTCAAATAAAAATGCACATCTATGAACCGCCTCTTTGTAATTAATTTGGAATTTTGTTGCTTAATTTGCCTCTTTCACCAGAATTGTTCATTAATTCAGAGCTTAGGGTTGGACAAAGAGGAGAGAGAAGGAATAGATATAAAGCATGGTGATCATGGTCTAATCGCACATTTATTCTAAACAATTATCATGATTTATGATGTCAAAAATAAATTATAACTACTTAAATTCTTGGATAATAATTAGGTTTTTGTAAGTAAGTTACATGAATTTAGCACAAAGACGGAGAAAAAAAGATAATGAGCGACTTTTTTTTTGGGTTAGGAGAATGACTAGGTTCAACCTTAAAATTGAAAGTCGAGACGGCGATGTTTGAGTCAAACTCTAATCTCAATATTTAGAGATCTAATTATGCAAATTTCACGGAGTGGTTTAGAGGTTATTACTGATGAGTGTTGGTCTTAATAGTGCTTACCAGAGCCAAGACTGAATTTGGGGAGAGGTGATGGCGAGCTTCGTCAGCATACCATCTTCTACTCCGCTGTTGACACCGACCCCTCATCTCTTCCCTCGTCGCTCCATTTCTACCCAAACCCAACTCAAGGTACTCTCTCTCTCTCTCTCTCCGTATACGAGCACAAATAGGTGCTCGTAAAGATTTGATTTGATTTTGTTTGTTTGACTGTTTCGTTGCCGTTGATTTCTTGAAGAACGGTTGGGCTCGGCGATTGCTGGTTCTTCGAGTGAAGTGCGTTCCGGATCAGAGTGGAGATACGGAAGTGGAAGCAGAGACGGCGTCGTTGTCAACGTCATCTTCTTCTACTCTTTCGGACATTTCATCATTCAATTGGTATGCAGCTCTTGGGGGATTGGGGTTTCTGGAGACTACATACTTGACATACCTCAAGCTCACTAATTCCGAAGCTTTTTGCCCAATTGGCGGTGGCACTTGCGGTGACGTCCTCAGCAGTGACTATGCCGTTGTTTTTGGTATTCTCTTCATCTTATTTGTCACATTAAGTTGTGCCATTGCTCTAAGCTTGCTTACATTTATCTATTTGCGTCAGTGATTTGTATATATCGATTTAAAATGAGGGTTTTAACCTTAATGAACGAAAATGCAGTAAACAAATAAAAAGGAAAGGCATTTGAATTAATGGGAGCAACATTACTTGAAGGATATATTTTGATTCACTTGGGTATGCGTTTAAATATAGTTATTGAGCTTGCAGATTGCAATTCACCACTTCATATCGTATCATATTGTTAGATGGGTTGGTGGGAATGATTTTGATGTCAATGGAAGCATAGTTGTGTAATTGCTTTGAGGGTGTTTACATTTATCTATTGGTGTGAGTAGTTTGCGTATATCTATAATGAGGGTTTTAAGCTTAATGAATGAAAATGCGGTAAATAAAAACAAAGAAACGACATTTGAAATTATGGCAGCAACATCACTTGAAGGCCATGTTTGGATTCACTTGGGGTTTGTAGTGCGTTTAACTATAGTTATTATGCTTGCGGGTTGTGATTCACCACTTCATGTCTTATCAGATTGTTAGATGGGTTTGGTGGGAATGGTTTTTATGTTAATGGAAGCATAGTTGATTGTTTCCACTTTTCATCTTTTTTATGGGCTTTTTATCCATTTTCTTTTTTTTTTTTTAGAATTCAAATCATTTTTTGAGGATGTATTACCACATTCCCATGGATTTTGGATTTGAACAGTTTTGTCGCCAATTTACACATCATTTCCAGGAAAAAATTATTTTCGTAATTGAGGATCAAAGTTTTGGGTTTCGATGGTGGCATAAAGTATGTAAATGTCAATACTAAGGCTGATTATCTTTCTATGATCCTGTTCTATGCAAAGTTATCAAATCGTGTATCGGAAGGCGTATCGTAAGATACAAATATTGTATCGTATCGTGTATCGTATCGTGTATCGTAAGATACGATGCAATTTTAAATAAATAATAAAAAAATATATATACCTTTGAAAAAAAGTCATACACTCATAAAAAATATAGCATTTCATTAATACTCCACCAACTATTCAAGTTATCAACATAATCCACTACTATTATAATGCAAAGTTCACAACCATAGTTCACTAATTCAAACTTTAAACACCAAAGAGACTTCTAATCCAAATTTCTAACATCCATTTTGAACTCAATCTTCAATTTCAATTGAAAATGCATCATCATCATCATCATTGCGATCGGATGCCAACAAGTCTTCACTTCCTTTATCATCTTCAACTTCTTGTATTTGTTCATCCTCATCCTCATCCTCATCCTCATCCTCATCCTCATCTTCAAGTTGAACTATTTGCTTTCCTTTTTTCTTGTATAAAGTAAGATTTCTAGGCCCTACAAAGCAACCAATACAAAATATAAAAAAAATAAAATTCAAAGTAATGGAGAAGAAGAAAAAACAACCACTATATTTTAATTACCTCTCTTTCTCTTTTTGCTAGTCCCTTCTTGAACCTCAAAACATTCACCAACATTCATCCAAGTAGTGTCCTCAGGAAGGAGTGCATCTTCTTTTTCAGTGATCCACTCATCATCAGATTCCATATCTGAGAGAGAAATAGGATCATAGGAATCACCCTCTAGTATTCTCTTTTGGTGTCTTGCCTCCAATCGAAGATTGTACTTCACAAACACAAGTGCACTTAATCTTTGTTGCTCTAATCGATTTCTCTTCTTAGAGTGCACCTGGTCAAATGTACTCCAATTCCTCTCACATCCAGTGGCACTACAAGTCAAGCTAAGGACGCGGATAGCAAGTTGTTGCAACTCTGGACAACATCCTCCAAATGATTCCCACCACAAGGCTATAAAAAATTACAATAGAATACTCTATTAACTAACTTAAGCAGTTACATTCAAATAACTAACTTAAGTTAAGTTACCACTAACCAGGTTGTTTCTTCTTCCTCATTTGGATTGCCATGTCCATTCCAAACATCAAATCAGCATTATGAAAGATATCTAATTGTTTATCAACTTTTTCTCTCATAATAGGACTTGGGCACATTCTCTGAATAGTCTGATACAGTCCCATCTTTATCTCATAGTCCGCACTACCGGTGTAATGAAACCTGAAATAATTATTTTGATTTACAATGATCATTGATCAGCATACAATATATAGATATAAAATGATATAAAAATTGAGAAAATTAAGTCTTACGCGGGATTGAGATAATAGGCAGCTGCATGAAGAGGTCTGTGTAATTGCATGTTCCATCTAGTGTCAACAATAGTCCATATGGGCTCATAGTGCTTCTTCACATTACGAAAATTCTTTTGGATTTGTTCCTTTGCCTTGTCCATTGCCTCATAAATATACCCCATGGCAGGCTTTAGATCCCCATCTACAAGCCTCAACACCTTCACCAATGGCAACACACACTTCAAGCAATACTTGATTGATCCCCAAAAATTTTGGTCAGCTAGTATAATATCCATCACTTTTACACCATCTCCCTTCTTACAATATTGACTTCTCTGCCATTCCTCAGAAGCAAACATTGCTCTAAGCCCAATTTTATTTTCAAATAAACTCCTTAAAGTTAAATATGAGGTGGCAAATCTGGTCACACAAGCTCTCACCAAATCCCTTTTCTTTGTATACTTTCTCATAAGATTTAACACCCAAGAATGTCTATAAATGTAAACTGTGATTTTCCTTGCCTTTGACATTATATCCTTGTGCAGAGGAAGGTCCCCAATATCCGTCAAAATGAGATCTAGACAATGTGCACCGCAAGGAGACCAAAACAACTTTTTCCTCTTTGCCATTAACAACTCCCCAGCTTTTACATAAGCCGATGCACTATCAGTTACAACCTGAACAACATTATCCTCACCAATCTCTTCTACCATTGAATCTAAAAGCTCAAAAAGATTATCCGCATTCTTACAAATACCTGAAGTATCAATACTTTTAAGAAACACACTTCCTCTAGGACTATTCACTAAAAAATTAGTGATAGAGCGATGTTTCCCATCAGTCCATCCATCAGACATAAGAGTACAACCCGTCCTTCTCCACTCTGCTTTATAATTTTCCATCAACCCACCATTAATCAAATTTGTTTCTTTTTTCAAAAAAGAACATCTCACCTCATGATACGATGGAGGTTTCAATCCCTTACCAAACGATGCAACAGATTCTAACATTCTTACAAAATATGGATCCTTTACCAAATTAAAAGGAAGGGCATTAGCATAAAAACATCTACAAATATCCAAGCATACATCTTCCCTACCCTTTTTCTTCAACATAGTATTCAAAGTAATTGTGGTGGTTGGCTGTATTTTATCAGCAGTAGTACTACCCACACTGCCACTACTTTTCGAATCCACAAGACTCATATCTTTGCTAATTGCCCTATCATCCAATAATTGCTTAAAAAATTCAGTTACTTCCTCAGGGCAATGCTTACACGCTGCTACATCTTTGCGATTACTTGCCAAATGATTTTTCATTCTTGAAATGCCTCCCCAATAGACATTTGCACAATGAATGCATTTCAATTTCAACCTTGATCCTTCTACTTTGTCACAATGTTCCCATGTGGGATCATTAGCAAGTTTTTTAGTCATTTCTATATGAAAATTGGATGCAGGTGATGCCACTGTTGCACAAAATTAAAATTAATCAAGATTCAGAAATTTTTATACAAAAAAATTTATATACATTTGGCTTTGTAAATAAATTAATATCATTACATACTGCACAGGACCAACGATCAATGGAGACTGGGAAGAAGAAGAAAAAGGAGTACCTGGAGAAGGAAGAAGGCAGCGATCAACACCCACAGTCGGAGACAAGCAATCACCCACAGACGAAGACCGGCAATCACCCACAGTTGGAGACCACCCACAATCGATCACCACCCAGACTCGAAGACCACCCACAGTCGGATACCACCCACACAGTCGAAGACCACCCACACAGTCGAAGACCACCCACAGCGATCACCACCTACAACGTTCACCACCCACAGTCGATCATCACCCACCCACAGTCGATGGCTGAAGAGAAACCACAGACGTCGTCGATAGACCACCCACACAGTCGAAGACCACCCACAGCGATCACCACCTACAAGTCGAAGACCACCCACAGTCGATCATCACCCACCCACAGACGTCGGTCGATGGCTGAAGAGAAACCACAGACGTCGGTCGATGGCTGAGAGAAACCAGACGTCGGTCGATGGCTGAAATGTCTGAATGTCTGATATATGTGAGAAATGTCTGAATTTTTTTTTTGTAACCCTAACCACTGAAACGACGTCGTTTCAGTGGTTATAGGGAATTGAAAAAAAAAAATTCAGAGCACAAAACGACGTCGTTTTAAAAAAAAAAAAATTTGCACGTATCGTGCGTTTCGTACCGATACGTATCGTATCGTAAAAACGTATCGTGTATCGGACGATACAACGCAAAAACGATACATAACTACGATCCGTATCGTTTTAGGGCTGTATCGTAACGTATCGTACGATACTAACAACTTTGGTTCTATGTTCAAGTATTTGGCAAACAAGATTGTGGATGATTGCACTAACACATATGTTGTGTTTTAACTTTGCAACTTCCAAAAAAAAATTCAAGAAACTAATTTCTTTATCAGATTTTTATGTGACTATCCTTTGTTCATTGTTTGCTGTTTTCTATTTTTGTTGGTGTCTTATTTGATTTAAAGCTATTTTTTTTTTCTAGAAAGTTTGTAGCCAATGGGCTTTTTTTACCTATAAAGCTAGATAAAAAAATTTCTTAGCGCGTGCATCAAATAACGGTTTGAGAATTTATAATTTATAAACTTGTTTGATTGCTTGTCCTAAGAGCATATTTGAAACCAAAGCTACTTATGTTCTATTGCATATTGTTGAAGTATAAATACTTAAGTTAAACCCTCTCTAACAGTATAAGCTTTTAGAGTAGATGATTGTTTAACATGGTATTAGAGTAGGAGGTCATGTGTTCAAATCTCACCGTCACCTTGATTATTTGAAAAAGATTTTCACATGCTAGGCTCAACATCTAGCCAAAACTTGAGGGCGTGTTGAAGAATAAATACTTAAGTTATATCCTCTATAAAAACCTATGCTATTGGAGTAGATAGTTGTTCGACACATATGAATATTCAGTTTACTTGTTGAATCCCATTGTTGCAATTGCTCTGTCCTAGATGTTTGATGTTCATTTGATTTTTACTATTTTTATATTATTATTGTTAGCGCATGGTCATATGTATTGATATTACTCTTTGATCTTATTGCTGTTTTCTGGAAAACAACTGGTTGACTTGAAATGAACACCACTCACGTTGCAAGGAAGTGTTTGAAACAGGATTTCAACAATTTTTTTTTTCTTCATTTTCTAGGTGTTCCACTTCCATTGATTGGAATGGTTGCCTATGGGTTAGTTGCAACGCTTGGGTTGCAGTTGGCTGGAAAGAATTTTCCTTTTGGAATTGGTGAAACTAATGGCCGTTTGATTTTACTGGGGACAACTACCTCCATGGCGGCTGCCAGCGCATATTTTTTGTACATCCTAAGCACAAGATTTGCAGGAGCATCATGTTCATATTGTTTAATGTCAGTTCTGTTGTCATTCAGCTTGTTCTTCATCACTCTAAAGGTTTTTTCCCCTAAAAAAATACTGTTTCGTTGACTTATTGGTAATTCAACATTGCTGTTCTTAAGTTTACAGCAGTTATATGATTCTCCTTGGGGTTTGTCTTTGCAGGATTTTGGGCCTCAACAAATACTAAAAGAGGTGGGTCTACTGCTATGTGTAGCTAGTTTGGTGGTTACTGCTTTAACCACCTCATATAGAAGTTTGCAACCCATCTCCACAAGGTAATTGAGTCTTATGGAATATTTGCAGCATTTGTGTCATTCTGCTGCCATCTACTTATACTCTACGCTTTTCTTTTTGTTTTTTTTATCTCTGTATTTCAATTCATTTTTGAAGCTGAAATGATGATTGCTTACTACTTTTTAGAACATGGCGTACTTTAATGGGCAGGTGAACAACTGTTGGAACATCGGAATCTTTTTGTGATGCAAGTTATTAATGAGTTAATTTTCATAAAGGCAATGTATTTGAACTGGCTTAATCTTGGAAGATTGATTTACCATCATGACCCCATTAAAATTTGCCTTGTCAGTAGCTGGTTTGTTAATTAGTTTTTTCCCCATCATTTCTACTCTAGCATGTTTAGTTGTGTCTTTGATGCTTTCTGTGTTTGTCATTGGTTAAGTGAATGAGTGAATACAACTTGCAGTCCTCATTGATTATGTCCGTCTGTAAATAAGTGAATAAATGAATTTCACGAGGGTAAATATACTTGCACCAGGTGCACTAGATATTTAGTTCCCTCTTGGGTTGAAATCAATTTAGTGATTCCCTCAAAATTGTCCCGATGGAACTTTATTTCTACAGTCTGAACTCTGAAGTCATGGATGGATTATGACTTACTAGTTTATTTTGTTACTGAAATGATTCCATAGTGTGCATACACCTTATCATCTTGGCAATAAGGGAACCTTGGTTGTTGTTGTTCCATTGTTGTTCATGTGTGTCATACCTAGAGATGAGGTGATGTATTCTTCCATTCTTGTTATGTGAAAAAAAACAATTTGTTAACTCTGTCCGCCACATCTCATAACAGCTTGGCTGAGATTGACCTGCCATATGCCACAACTGAGATCACAACAGAGTCAAGTCCCTTCACTCTTGCTCTTGCAAGACATCTGCATTCAATAGGAGCTAAAATGTATGGGGCTTTCTGGTGTTCGCATTGCGTTGAACAGAAACAGGTACTTCATGCTTCTCTGTCTATCAAAAAAAAAAAATACAAAAACAACAGACTCCATCCACAAATGTATTTTTTTGAACTTTTATTTTAGTGTGTTCTGGGACTTAATAAAATCAACGTTGACAACTTTTACAGAACTCTTAAGAATCTTGTCTGTTTGCTTTTATTTCTACTACTTTGTATGTAAGTTCTCTCTGCAGCAACACACACAAATTTTTCGATGTAACAAACAACTAGTTGAGCTCATATGCGGTTGGTTCCAACTACGCGAACTGGGCAAGACATTACAGGATGAGGCACCAACAATTGTGATGCCCTAGAGCTTAATGATGTTATGTGTTGTGCCACAACTCCTTTTTAAAGGTGTCTTGTTCCATTTGGGGTCAGTTTTTTAAGGGACTCTAGATTTGTTGCATGCCATAATGGCAAGGTACAATTGTATTTGGTAGAGGTCAAATGTGTAATGTTCTGTTGGCAAACTTGTTTATTTTCTTCTTTAGTTTTTCCTCGTGTTCCCAGTAGGTTGAATCTGATTAGTGACTTAGTTTCATTATCTCCTCCGCCTCGGGAATGGAATTTTGGTTAAAATTTATTATCATTGCCTGCTTTGTGTCTCTGGCTAGATGTTTGGACGTGAAGCAGCAAAGGTGTTGGACTACGTAGAATGCTTCCCTGATGGATACAGGAAAGGAGTAAAAATGGCTGAGGCATGTGCAAACGTTGCAATTGAAGGGTTTCCAACGTGGGTGATTAATGGTCAGGTGAGGAAGCTCTTTTATTGCCTACCATTTCTTATATAGTAATTAGCATTTTTTTTTCTTTTTCTGTACTCAAAAGTTTTAGCATGATTCTAAAAATGCGTCCTTTCTTAAGTAATCTATCTTTCTAAACTAGACCAATAAGAAAATCTTTCTGAACTGTTCACCTCAACCAAACCCAGTCGGTATGTTGGCTAGTTCTACTTTTGCCAGCGTGGTTAAGAATGATAGCAAGACTTGGCTCCATGCTTTGAATATTCAATTATCCTGTGTGCAAACAAGGAAAACCAATGCTCTGTTCATAGATAAAAACAAACAAAGCAAAAAAATTGAAAAAATAGATGTGTGTATAACTAATGGACTTTGATTAGGTCAATTGGTAGGTATTGCATGACTTGATGGACTAAAAGATGGTAACTATCTCTCCCCTTTTCTTCCATACCTGCTCAACAATGAAGTGCAGTGAAAATACAGGTGAAATTGAGAAGTGCCGAAAAATGTTGCATGCAATGAAGCTTGAGGGTGGTAGTGCCTTAATTATCTTCTATCTTTGAAGATGCTCTGTTTTCATAGGAGGTATTTCTTGCAGGTTTTGAGTGGAGAGAAAGAATTGCCCGAGCTTGCCACACTATCGGGATTTGAATTTGAAGATTCGAGCAAATCTAACTAAACTTTCCTTGTGGGTTTAACTGTGATGCCTGTACAGCTCCTAGATAAAGCCTTAACAGCTTATGAACTTAATTGATCTTCGAAGTTTAGGCAATTTTTCTATAATTGTTGTTCTTTACCAATAAAATGATACAGAGAATTTGTGATAGGTGGTGATTCTCTTTGTTGTTGAATGATAACATGAAGTCAGTAGTACTTTCATCCCTCCCCCGGCAGCAACTTCATTCGGCTTACTATATCAGGGGTATGTGTGTACATGCTAGCATGCTATGTGCTCGTACGTGTAATCTATGGGGCAGTCAATTAGCAGATTCAAACTATTTATTTCATGATGGATAATTGGATATATAGTCTTGAATGCTGATTACATGAATTGAATACCGATTAAATATCACAGTTACAGAACGATAATTTTGATTTGCTACTCAAGTACGATGTGATTTTCACGTTTTTGTATTTTTTGGTTCAACGGTCTGAGGTAACTAGATCAGTTTATGCGTATTTCGATTAATTTCTTTTTTGGTCCAGTTAAATGTTGGTTATTCGTGTCGAGACTAGAGTAATTAGGCCTTAACCCACAAACATTAATAATCAATCGTCCAGCAATATTCGGCCATTTTAATGTCCCATAGTCATTTGACTCATTTCTTTGTGTGTTTTTGTCGACTATTCAAAAAATTAATAATATATATAATTATAAAATTAATGCATTATAAAATTAAACTTTTAATTCAAACGGTTAAAGTTGGAATCGATTGAGATTTTGAAAATAAACTGTTCACATTAAATTCAAATCGAACCGTTAAATTATAAGGTAGAGGTTTTTGTTTTAGTTTTTTTTTTACATTTTAAAAACTTATAAATTAATTTTGGGTAGCGTAATATTTCCCAGGCTGATCCAATCCGATCGCCGCTCAAAGCGGACGGCCCAGATCAGCCTTTCAAGAAAATCCATAACCATCGGAACTCGAAACCAAGAGGACCCACATGGATCAATTAATCACGGCCTGTAGTCGTCAGAGCTGACCAAAACTCATCCCGGTCCAAAACCGAAGATTCTTCCGAATATTCCTTATCCCCCCCCCCCCCCCCTACTCACCGATATCCTCACCCGTTTTTTTCTCTCCCATCCCCACCCCCATCCCCAATATTCTGTGTATAAATACTCCTGTCCTGTTCTCCATTAGTCACCGCAACCCTCCTAACCGTCACTGCCTTTTACACAAGACTCTATTTTCCTCATCTACGCCTATAATTTCTCCCTTCCATTCACCATCTTTCTGTCTTAGCACATTCGTATCTCTTCAACCAAGAAATCTGATAACCATGCTTTCACGCATTCCCGAATCCGATCAATTACAACTCATTGACAAACTCCATGTTTTCAAGATCCAAGGTCGTGATAAATGTGGCCGCAAGATTCTCCGCATCCTCGGAAAACTCTTCCCTGGTAAGAATTCAAATATCTCTCTCTCCGCCATTCTCTCTGCCCATGGACTTATGAATTGGAATTTTATTTTTTGGAAAATTTTTTATGTTTTTTTTGTTGTTGTTTTGATTAGCGAGGGTTGTGAGTGTTGATGTTTTGAAGAAGTATTTGGAGGAGAAAATATTTCCTGAGTTGGAGGGAAAACCTTTTGCTGTGGTGTACGTGCACACCGATGTTGAGAAGTGCGAAAGTTTTCCTGGAATTTCAGCCCTACGATCTATCTACGATGCCATTCCGATCAACGTCCGACAGAACCTCGAGACTGTGTACTTCGTACACCCAGGCCTTCAAGCCAGGATCTTCCTTGCCACCTTTGGCCGCTTCATGTTAGCCGGAGGGTAAACTCAAACTCTCTCTCTCTCTCTCTCTCTCTCTCTCTCTCTGAATGAACAAGAGATGAATGGATATGTCAAATTTTTTTAATAGAATCCATGTTCTCTAGTATTGTTTAATTTATATAATTAAATAGGTGCGTGTTTGAATTTTATTTTAATTATATTTTTTTTTTCAAAATTATCACTAAATATTTATCTCGCTTATCGTCTCATTGTTAAACTTAAATGTCAAATTGTATCATTCATTTTTATCACATATTTAAGTATTTATATATTTCTTCCTTACACACTTATTTTTATTATTTAATTAATTTATAATTAATATATTTTTAAAAAATTTAATATAGTGAAATCGATTTTTTGAACATCCCTGAAATTACGTTACGATTGGTTTGCTGATATTTTTCATTGTCTTTTATTTTGTGGTTTGAATGGGTTTGATACTGTGTGTGCAGCTTATATGGGAAGCTGAGGTATGTGAGGAGGGTGGATTACTTGTGGGACCACATAAGGAGGAACGAGATACAGATTCCTGATTTCGTTTACAATCATGATGAAGATCTCGAGTACCGTCCGATGATGGACTATAATTTGGAGAGTGATCACCCTAGGGTCTACGGTGCGCCCGAGGTGGATTCCCCTGTGGCTATGTACTCAATGAGGTGCATTTCATAGTGAAATGTGATTTAACGTTTTGCTAGAGTCGGTGGAAGCCTTTTGGGTTCTCTTTTTGGTGGATGTTGTTTGTGTAAATATTGTAGAGAATGTGAAACTGAATCAACGAAAGTATGGTTTTTCGTTTAAGAAAAATTATAATTGCATCCCTTATAGTTACCCCCGAGTATAATTACATCCCCCAATGTTTAGAAAATGAGTAATGTTATATGAGTTAATTATAAATTACATTCCGAAAGATCGTTTAAATTTTAATTTGCACTTTTAAAGATCAAAAATTAAAATTATACTCTAAAATATAGAAATTTATATTAATGTGAACCCTCAAATATCAAAAATTTTAATTTACACCTTTAGAGATAAAATTTTGTATCAATGTGTACTTAAAATTAACTGTCATCAATTTACTACTTAAATTAAATTGATAAATTATATTTAGATCTTCTTATACTTGTCACTTAATTATTTTGACACTTTTCACAAAATAAAAGATAATATAAAATTATAATTTTTGTCATCAATTTACTACTTAAATTAAATTGATAAATTATATTTAGATCTTCTTATACTTGTCACTTAATTATTTTGACCATTTTCACAAAATAAAAGATAACATAAAATTATAATTTTTTATTAGAATAAAATTATATTTTTTAACGACTATAAAATCCTAATAAAAAAAACTCTCAATCTAAAATGTCCTCCCAATTGGACATTCAAATAATTATATTTAAGTGATATAGTACATTGCATATAAAAAACATTATATAAATATATACATTCTATTGGACATTAAAATGATAAGCTTGATTTTAAATTTTAGAGTATATTGGGTTTATAAAATAAAAGGTAATATGAAATTATGACTTTTTATTAAGATAAAAATATATTTTTTTAACTGTTTTATTAACAGATATCAACGAAAAAGGGTTACGTCTTACATATGCACAAACGTCATGAGATGAAAGAATAATATTCTAAATGTGAAGAGATTCAAATGATTAAGTGACAAACACGAGGGGATTTAAGTATAATTTATCAATTAATTTTAGGCAACAAATTGATAACGGTTAGTTTTAGGTGCACATTGATACAAATTTCTATCTTTGAGGATGTAAATTGAGATTTTTAATTTTTGGGGATGCACATTGATACAAATTTATATTTTTAAGGGTGTAAATTAAAATTTTTGATCTTTAAGAGTACAAATTGATATTTGATTCGAAGTACAATTTAAAATTAACCCATGTTATATTGATAAAAAAATTAAGGATTAAATAACGTTGTTGATCTCACTTTTAGGCTTTTTCTGTCAATGAGCAAAATATTCCCAAAACAAATTTTCAAAAAAGATTTTTGTGCGTGCAGGATGTTGCACAATATAAAAAACGAGAACAGATCTCTCCCTTGATGAACTCGAGTGAGTCAGTTGAGTGATCAACCACGCTGCTTGGGACAGCCTGTGAGGTCCGGTGGTAACCTGGAACGGTAACGGGAGACCCTCGTGAATTGAAGGAATGATCCAGTAAGGCTGGGGAAAGGTTCCTAGAATAAAAGAGAACAAGTTAGAAGGGCGCCGGAGTGTTTTCCGGCTTATCCCCTCTGACGATCAAGTCAGTTTTTGAAAGGGAGAGGAAGAAAAAAGCACTGAATATATTTCGTAGTAAAGAGTTTCTTGTTGCATACCGTTTTGCCTTTTATGAGGAGTATTTATACCTCAAAAGCTCATGATTGCTGTCAGTGTTGTCAGTAGATGATCATTAGGTACAGGCAGTGTACGCACTGATTCTGATGAGGAATGTCTTCCTTTCTTTAACTGCTCGGGGTGTCGAGCAATTAATGTTGTGTCGTCGGGCTGCCGACTGTGTAATGATCTCCACTCGGGGAGGATGCAATAAATGTCCAGCCTTAGAGACATTTATTGTCTTTCAATTCCGAGCCTTACCGCATTGAATGCGGTCTCATCAAGGGAATGATGTAATTAAATGTTTGCTTTCCCAAGTCGCGTGTCAGTAAAAACATGCGGTCTTTCTGTCTCTGATGTGACACAATTTGTCACGCGTCCATCTCTTATTGGCTGTGGATCCTGCCTTCATGTTCCTTCTGACACCAATTGTGTAAGACGAGACCATGATAACTAACCTAGACTAGCCTAGGCTAATGACCTGTACATCAATAACTTATACTGGAGCAGAGAAAAAGGCATTCTGGACAAGGTACATCTCGGTACCGAGGACATGCACATCTCGGTACCGAGGATAGGTACATCTCGAGCCGAGGGAAGCCGTACATGATGACCGAGGTACCATACCAGACCGAGGGATACGTGTCGGTACGTAAAACGTACTCGACACGTGTCAAGTACCTCAAGCGAGGGAGTTGTAAAGTCGATGGCACGTGATCTCAGTTAACAGAATTTTTAGTGACGTTGAGGACACGTGTCTTCATCTTAGACTATTTTCAGAAAAGTCTCATCAATCTTTATGCTAAAGCAATTAATATTTGCATTTAACACTTGCTGAAGATGCATTGGGAATTTCTCAAGGTGAAATGGCATAGCAGCAGCCATTACCCAGAAAAATCACTTGCCCAGTCTCCCTAAACTTCTCACACTGACTGACCCATTTCTGTTCCTCCTCATTTAGCTGGCTTTGAACTGAACAACCATATTGGTAGTACCTAAATCAATTAAAAGAAAACTCTCCAAAAGATTGTACCAAATGCTTGGAACCCCATAGAAATCATTGCAGTTACTATTTCAGTCACCTTCAAAGAACATAAATGATGACTGTTTGTCGCAGAGTAATCGAATGCCAAGATCTTCCCCTTGTAATTAACAATGTCCAGATAATACTATGCAAGGGCGATTGCAAACCTGTCTGTGGCTTTAGGTTAAAAGTGGGTATTTACACCGAAGGGGTATGACCTGTTTTTGGAACGAGATTACTAGACAAGCTGGACGTGGGTCTAACATTATGTCCGAGGGGAAACTCTCCTGATTCGTCCGTACATGGAGACGACATAGAGTTGGCCCCAATTAACAAAGGGTCAATTGCCTTGCCCTTGAGCTGCTCCATTACCGTGTCTTGAGTCGCGCACTTCTAGTTCCCTGGAGAATGCAAGCAGAGCTGTTATTATCCATCAATGATCAGCACCGAGCATTAATTCATCATTATTTGTCGACCGAATTTGATTGGTTAAGTTTATTCCTTATATCCTCGAGGCTCGACCATTAAATAGACAATTATAATAAAATATCATATAATTAGTTCAATTATTTTAAGATTGATAATTTTATGCATATTTTTTAACAAATCTCTTATATCAGAAGGACGTACAATCGTTATTCTCTTGAATATTTATTTCTTCAATTATTTCAATCATGTCAAGTCAAATCATTGATAAAGAACAAAATATGATCTCAAATAGCAATCAAATGTTCCAACAAGATTAATTGAAGTAACAAGATTACATTATTGTCCCAAACCGATAGCCCAAAAAATTAGTAATTCTATATTTCCCCTACACACCCTTTATCTTATTCCAAACAGCCTTATTCTTATTTTCTAGGGCAAGATCTTATTCTTCTCTCGAACAAGGTTATAACTGCACCACCCAAACACACCTATTCCTCTACGGGCGGGTCTTGCTCACTTTCGCTATCTCCCCAAATTCAAAGACCCCAAATGGAACCATTTTATTCCATCTAAAAAACCCACAAAAATCTCACCTATTCGTCATTCATATTATAGGATTTACTCTCATTCCTTCATCCCCAACTGTGAATTTTGTGCTACTGAGTTCTGATATCTTGGTGGTTCGATGGTTTTCTTGTGCTGGGCTCGGCCATCTCCTCAAGAACAGAAGGCGTGCATCGACAAGTAAGATAAGAGTTTCTTGTACATAAATTATGTTTCAGTCTTCAGAATTCGGAATTGTATATATACATGCGTGTTGGGCTTATGAAAAACACCCATTTCCAGGTCTGGTGACTTCAACTATGACAGTAAATACAGAGGAGCTTCAGCTAAGCCCCTGTCTTCTCTTCAAGAGGATAGGGAGCTCTCAAAAGATGGTTTCTCGGTAAACCACGCTCGCAATTTGGTGGGTTCAGGTCTTGAGACTTATGAAAAGGGCAAGATTGCTCTGCAAAGTTGGAGGTGTGTAGAATATATTTCTGGGATTTTTATGAAATTTAATTGAGAGGGAGATTTTAATTTTACAGTTCGATTCGATTTGCAGGCATTTTGGTTTGAATTGGGCATTTGTTGACCCCAAGGTTCCAATTCGAAGTGGGGTGAAGTTCTGTGTTTGTGTGAAGGAATTTTTCCCATGGCTCATGATGCCTCTGCAGGTAGTTTACGTTAATGAGAACAGAAACGCTAACAAGGCTATGGCTTCGTTCAGTTTCGGTGGTGGTACCCTTCAGGGACACCTACTGGTTAGTGTTTCTTGACTACTTGTATTCATTTGTTCGCCAAAGGTAACTTTGGACTTGTGTGGATGTGTTTCTGATTTGTATGATTTACATGGTGAAATCATATTTAAGGTTTAAAGTATATGTTGCCCTTGTTGTCTGTTAACACAGTTAAATGTGATATTATCATGCATTGACCTTGTTTTCTAACCTAATAGAATTATGGAGGACCCTGAATGTGATTCAAATTCTTGCTTGAACCATATGCGGTACCCGAGTCTTTGGATTCTGTTTTTTCATCCCATTCTTTGAATCTATTGATGACCAGAACAAGAAATTAGTTTCTCTACCTCCTTTGTGCTCTTTAGTGAATATGCCATGCCAGAAATGACATTTTCTTAGGTCTCATTTAGCACTTTCTGCGATGGCCTGTAATAGTTTGCTTTCTGTGTAAATGGTGTATCTGAGAATATTTGGGATTATGATCTTGGTTTCGATATTGATGTTGTACCATCAATTGAAGTTTGGATGGTCTAGGCTGTTTAGGTCTTTGACTTTGTGCCCAAGGCAGTCAAAGGATACACCTAGTTCAATGATACAATAGAGTTATGTCTAGTTCTTGTGTCCAATTATTCAGAGTTTTGCTATTCAATGCGCAAGTTTTAGTTTTCATTGTAAGCTTATATTTAAGTTTGATAAATGGAGAAAAAAAAGTTGAAGAAAAGGAGTGGATGTCTTATGAATCATGTTTGATTTAGTAAAATTTTAACTAAGGTGCAAATGCTGGAGTTTCAACCCCATAATGAATGGGGAGGCGAATTGGGTTTATTTCTGATCCCTAGCAAATTTTAAAAGAAAGGTCTGATATGGTGAAATTCTTTTAGTTGTAATTTGGCAGGGTTTGTGAGTGAACCTTGTTGTAACATTCAAATATGCAACTTGAATTTTTTAACTGTAACATCTTTACCAATTAACTGCTGACTAGTTGACTTCTTTATATAATGAGCTTATCAACACCGTTCGCGAAGGGAATTTGGAAAGCTTTCCTCAGTTTGCAGTATAGTTTTTGGAGTTAAGCATTTACTTGTGGGAATTGCCCTCTTCCACATTGTACTACTGTTTTTTTGTTCCTCAGTTGTGAAATTATTTTGGCGTGAGGCCTATTACATGTGAGTAATGTTTTTGGAACTCCCTTGAGTGGTATTTAGGGGCGGCGCCAGACATTTTTCCAACTTAAACCATGTGAATATTAAAATTATTAATATTCACAAAAGTATAGTTTCATTAATGAAACGTCAATTAAAGCCGCAACCCATATACATGATCGCTATACAAAAAGAGCCAACAAAAAAAGTTCACTATAAATTTATAAGACCTAATCACCTGTCAAAAAATTTTGAACCAAAATATTGGGCTCAATCATATATAGTTTAATTTTAACAAACAATCGAAACAAACGTAAACTATGACTATTCTATTAAACTAAACTTGGGTATACGAATTACTTAACTAATCACAATAAAACTATTCAAATCACCAAATCAAAATAATTTAATCTAACACATAATTGAGGCATTTAGCCTTTTAAAGGAATTTTTTTGACGTTTATAAGTGAGACTCATATATTTGTCAAAATATCATAATTACCTATAAAAAGTATATATATTATTTTCCAAAAGAGACTTGTCTCTTTTATGTTGTTTTAAAATCTTGTTTGGATTTGAGAGGAATTACTGGAAAAATCTCTAATAAATTTAAAATTTTTTGAAATTATACTACTCCCCTAAAGTTTTTAAAATTCCAATGGGGGCAGCTGCCCCCACTGTGGATCTGCCACTGGTGGTATTTCCTTGCTAAGTACTCGAGTGCTTTGTTCTCATCTTTAGACAGAAGTCACACAAAGATGATATGCCTGTTTACTGCAGAAGCAAAACCAAATGTTTATTCATAACAGTTTGAGTTCTATTTGCCTATAATGTAGAACACACTACAACATGGTAACTGGTGTGAGACATTAAACCTTCTGGATAGATGCATTCTTTGTTATAACATTGTTGTTTGACCAGATGTAGTTTTGTAGATCATTGTTTTTGTGACCAAATCCCATATGCTCGGCTGCTAAGAAGCACATTAGGCATAGACCTGTGACTGATTCCTCCCCCCCCCCCCCCCCACAAAACACACACACAAATGTATAAGGTTGCTTTTTTATTTTGGGGAAAAATATTGATGTTCGGAGCTCAATCTGTGAATTGGTCATACAATGCATTCATGCAGTGGTAGATAGGTATTTGTTCTCTCTCTAAGTTACTTGTATTTCTCAATTGGTTGATTGACAGGTTTGTTTTATTATTACGTCATTTTTATTTTAAGAATGTAAGAAGAAGGCTGTCCATGGGCCTTAGCAACACACATTACCACAATACCACTCTGTTGATAGGTAATATTATGCATTCATGCACTGATAGATTGGTGTACTTGTTCTCTGTTGAACTTTTACTTATATTTCTGGATTGGTCGATTGAAAAGTTTGGTTTATTATCATTTACTTCTTACTGTAGAATGTGTGAAAAAAGTTGTCCAAGGCCTTAGCAACGCATGACTTTTGATAACAAGGCTCTGATATACTCTTGTAATTGGTCCATCAAACTACATTCCCTTTGCAAAGTTGACCGAGAGAAGCATCTCTACCTGCCAACTACTACTTATATTAGGACCTGCATACCTAGCAACGCTGAGTTATCCAGAATTCTATCTAGACTCGTTAAATTTTTAAGCACTTGAACATAATGTTCACAATTCCATACCATTTTTGAAACATAGTTTTTTGATAGTGTATGGATTTAGGTTATTTATTATCATCTAGTCATATGCTTAAGTGAATGAAAATTGCTTCACTAAAAACTTTACTTGACAATAATGTATGTGATGATATTTCTTTGGGCTGTCTTCACATTTATTTTTTTTTGTGATAAACTCAAATATAGTTTTGCAGGAGGTGCTTAAATTCAGTTTCTAATTTTCTTTGATTGCTAATCATATTTTTGGAATGTGGGTAACACTGATATGGCTTTGGATTTGATTGAAAGCAGGCTGGGGAAGAACGCTTCGCCATTGCACTAGACGAGAACAACCGAGTTTGGTATGAAATACTCTCCTTTTCCAAACCGGCACACTTTCTATCACTTTTTGGGTACCCATATGTCATTCTTAGGCAAAAATACTTTGCTTATCAATCTACCATCGCAGTTCAAAAACATTTGTCTTCTTAGTATCTCTGTGGTGGTCTAGTCTTGCAAATGATCCCCCCCCCCCCCCTCCTTCTCATGGAAATAAAGGGCATTCCTTTGTTGTATTGCTTTGTAATATGATGGACTTAGTGTTATCAAATGTACTTTCCGAAAAAACTTAGTGTTAGCAAATTGTATAAAAATGTGTCAGCATTGCCATCAAAGGAAAACAGTAGCAAAAGTTTACCATCCTCTAAGTTGCACAAACCAGTCTTTCGTGAATCTCCATGGACATCTTCATAGCCATTTTCAACAAGCAAGAAGTAAATTAATATTCGAGTAATAATATATGCAATTCTTCTTAAATCTGGTAAACTCGAGAACAGAAAGAGAAAAGGAGCAATCTACACCCACAAAAAACACCCTATCACCTAAGCTTTTCAGCTGCTCCCATTTTTACTCCTTTTCATTTAGCTTATAAGCATCCAACTCAACAACCCTATGATCCTCACTCCATAAATTGTCTCCGAGCTCTATCTAGCACCACATTAACTAAAAACAGCTCCCCACAGGACCCCACCAGGTGTATGTTTCTGGTCGCTCCCTTGTCTACCGAAAAGGAGATTGTTGTTCCATTGAACGATAAATCGAACAATATAGTTTTTCCCCGCCATTAACAGTTTGTAAATGATAAGTTCCACCCAATGACAGTACCTATATTGATACCAATCGGTCCAGTTCTTGTCTCCTGACTTGTAATAGGTGGTCATTACCGTGAACTCATCAGCAGCCCTATGCAATAGTACTGTTTTTCTGGCATAACGTTGAGCACATGGAGGGGAAGATAACGATGGATTGACATAGTGAAGATCACATGCTTTAAATAACTCGGTAATCCAAAAACCGGAGAAATTCCACGCTGTGGTGAAGTATTTCCTGGGAAAAGCATGATTTGAAAGCCTGATAGCGGATTCAAAAGACGAAATTTGCCTGGTTGAGTCTTGTATCTTAGCCAACCAGCCTTGAAACACTAGAAGAACACGAACTGTTTCCGGAATCATAGACGGTGTTTTCGTTGAGATTAAAGTATCAGGTACCATGCAGAGCTTCTCTGGGGTGGATCTCGGAAAGGGTAGTTTGAGAGGAAAACAAAGAGTTTCTTTAATGGAGGAATGAATATTGGATCGCCATACAACGCAGACGGAACATAAACGCAGAACATTGATGTGGTTGTCTAGGCGTCTACGTATGAGCTCCCGTAGTTGTTGTGGAAGGTTGGACCACGAGAGTCTCATCCACGTCCCCTCCAATATACTTTTTTTTTACCACACTATCCACCATTAATAAGTGAGGGACAATCTGACTCCTAAGAGTCTTCTTCTCATAATCATCTTTAATGCTTACCAATGCAGTAAACCCTAGAGTTTCAAGCTAAAGAACGATCCACAGAGGATCTTAGGAATTTTTTTGGGGGGGTCAGAACAGAAATTTATTGACTCTGATGCATCAAATTAGATCAGCACCTGAATAATATTTTTCTATTTTTTTTTTCGCCTTTTAGAATTGTTTTTTTGCTGCCAGTTGACTGTTCCATTAGTGTTCTGGGGGAAAAATATAGGCAGAAAAGAATATGAAATCATTAGAAATTATAATCATATGTTAGACCAAGTTGGTTTACTGATAATAATGTTACTGATGACATTAGTTTTGAGGAGGAGGAGGAGGAGGAGGAGGCGGCGGCCATGGAGATGGAGATGGATGGGTGAGTGCAGTGGAAGTTTTTCACTTATCTCCAAGTCATTTAAGAGCTGATGCACAGCCTTGTGACCTAAGATGTACGGACACGAACACAAGATATAAATATGACACGATATGAACATGCAATTATTTTACAAAAACATAAGACATGGACACATTGGGGACAAGTTGAATAAATATATGTATTTAATTTTTGTATGACTAATAGTTCATGAAGTTGACCCATTACACATGTTTATACATATTTTTGTCCAAAGTAAATGGATAAATTTGGCTCAAATGTAATCTAATTTTAATTTTTTCATTAATTTTATTAGACCAAACAAAGACTCATAAAACAGATCAATTATTAAGTTAGCTCATCCAATGAAATATACAAGTTTTAAGTTCTCATTTAATTTATGCCATATTTGATCTTTTTCAAGTTGATAAGGAGATAAGACAAAAATTGAGAAAACTAATAATGACATGCCACATGAAAATGACTTGATTTAAACTCGATCGTCGGAGATGACTGCTGATCGATAGACACCTTTGGTGTTCAATTGCTCAAGTTTCGTCTTTCTTGTCAACTTCTTCATTGTCGTTGTTCTCTGTCTTCATCGACCTCAGTTACCGTGAACAATCGAAAATTGATAAGTTGGAGAAAACATATTCAGAATGTGTCCGATTATCAAAAAAAAAAATCAGACACTAATTT